GCGAAATCAGCAGGGCGGGTACATTGCACTGCCTTACACATCTGAATTTATTCATTTACTAGCTTCATCCAGTCCTCTGTGAGATTTCACAAGGTGCCCCTGTACAAACTACGCTGCTGGAAGCTACCTTCTTGCAGTTTCACAAGAGAGGTACAAATCTCCATGTCTAGGGGGAATCGGCAAATATCCCCTGGAGCGAATAAAACTGTTTTGATGTTGATCCTTATGCCTGATTTGTTGAATTTCGGTGCATTAAGATGAGACTCAATTACCCTCGTTCGAAGCACTTTTCTCAAGTTTCTCAAGTGAACAGGCTCGTGAGGTATTTCTTTTCAGTAGACGGAAAGAACGAGCAATCTTACAACAGAAAATCTCCAACTTCCCCACCCCCCCCACCCCATCTTAATCAACTAATCGTAAGGTCGTCCCAAAGCGATGGTGTTGGAGCTGATCTTTACTAGTGAAAATCCTCGTTAATAAACTCTATAACCAAAAAAAGCCATGAATATCCAGAGTAGGGACATGAGGATTTTTTTTGAACAGAAGCGGTTACTATGGCAGAGATGACGACTTCTGCCCGGGCCTGAAACGCTAAATACGGTCATTCCTTTCTGGCACCAGGGACTACTGTCCCATGAAGCGCTTATGACGAGGAAAGCTTCTTTGCTGTGTTTCGTGCTGTCAATGACGTCTTGGAATACGTCGTTGACAGCACGAAACACAGCAAAGAAGCTCTGGTCATCTGTGATTCAGCAACTGGCTTACCTGCGTTATATCAGCACCTATATTCTTTGAATAAAGAAAAATTTCTTACCGTACGATACATATTAGCTGCTGGAGGCGCAATCTCGTTTTTCCCTTCGAATGCATTACGTTCACTGAGTCCTCTGGCCAAACTGCCTCTGAAATATGGGTAAAACTTATCCCTGAACATCAGCGCTACTTTTCCCTGGATAACTGCTGTTCGCGACACGACATTTCAATCATGCGCCTGACGAGACACTGCTACCCAATAAGCGGCAAAGTGCGAGGAAGCGCTTCGAAAATCATCTTGATGATGGGTGAAAGATCGGTGGCTAGCGCCTTCATTCCCGTATAATTATTACAAAATTACAGGGGCGCTCAGTCGCTTGAAGTCGCCTAGACGCGCGGATCGAACTATAAACGTGTGTTACCTGCGCAGATTGTGTTGGTCGAGGAATCTTTGTCGTACTTCTTTAGGCATCCGGACGCTGTCGCAGTTGGCTACTAAAGTACATAGCAGTTGTAATAGTTCTTTCAGATAACGTATCATAGCAGCTGATAAAATCTTACAAGTAGCGGGATCTACTGTTGTCGTCGTTCGGGGAGTGGTAGTGTTAGTTGCCGTGCCATTGGTAGCTGTACCATTAACTGGAGCTGTTCCGTTTACTGGAGCTGTTCCGTTTACTGGAGCTGTTCCGTTTACTGGAGCTGTGCCATTGGTTGAAGCCGTGCCATTGGTCGAAGCCGTGCCATTGGTTGAAGCTGTGCCATTGGTTGAAGTCGTGCCATTTGTCGAACTTGTGCCATTGGTTGAACCTGTCCCATTGGTCGAAGATGTGCCATTGGTTGAGGTTGTGCTGTTACCTGTGAAATTATCACTTTATAGTTTTCGCTGTGATTAACAGTAAAAAGAAACCAAGACGGCATCATCAGCCTGCCCTTCATTTGAAGGCGCAGCTCACACTTTTCATGTGGGCGGAGTCAGCGCTACCAGTGTGCTTATGTGATTGGCCCGCTCCTCCTCCTCCTTATCATGACGAGAAAGAGGCGCGCACCAATGAGAAAGGCATAGTGGTAGCTCTGCCCAAATGATCAGCTTGTACCATGCCTTTAACGGGGAATAAGGGGAAAAAGGCGTACCTTGGCCTCCAGTGCCTATGAAGCACGAGAATGCGAAAAGCACCTGAATGTCTAAAATTAGGAAATACGTCTCAAAGATGGACGGTGACCCTTCAATAGAGCCACAAAGAAATTACAGAGCAATCAAAGACCACTTACAAAGAGGAGGGGGAGGGCGATCCCGGAGGGGGCCATGACGTCTGGTGTTCACTAGCAAACGGCTACCTTTTATAGCATCCATTTTGTTTTGGTTTAAAGTCCGTATTAACATACTGCATATGTATAACTAGTTGTAGGTCTCTAGATGATTTACATTTTGCTGCCAAAATAATAAACTCTTGTATGGAGATTCGTAGTTGTTGCCGTTGCGGACATATTCGGTGATGTTTGTTTCACGAATCAAATCTGCTCAGTATTCCCCACCCACAAGTGCGGTCGATGATAGAGCAGCACCGCACGACGACTCCAGCCATCTGTAGGTTCCATTCGTAGCGATAGTACTGAATAGTCTCTAAGTTCTCCCTTCGTGGAACGTCATGATAATGCGGAGATATGGTCTACTTCTGCTAAGCGGGCTGTGAGGTGGAATCGCTTATTAGCAAGGCCTTTCAACATTCTCGTCTTCTTCAGAGGCCTGAGAATGGCTCGAAGCTCTCAGCTTGCAAGTTACCCGACCGAGCGCCAGTTCTCCTTTAGTATTCGGACGTCTGTCGTGAACAGGTAGGTAATCGATACAGTCTTGTAGTACATTTCTTCCTCTATCGACTACCCACCAAACACCCCAATCAGCGTGTAAATAGACTAAAGAACCGGGAGCAAAACACTCAGCCAAGAATGTAACAGTACTTTTTCTCGCCTTCTCTGTGGTGGACATATTGCTCCAAGCTGAAGGTTGGTGCTAACCGTGAGCTACATTACCTTCGGTAACAAAAGGTTGCCGCACTGTATCAGCATTAGCGTGTTTGCGTATTGACCCCCCCCCTCAGCCCAGCTTACCGTTGGTATTTTTCAGACGGCTAATGACAATGTAACTTGTTTTCGAAAGAAGTAGTCGCAACGTTTACTCACTGATTTCACATACACACTTTTTTCACTTACTCCGCTTTTTTCCTTCTACCTGCACCCTGTAATGCCTTCAGTGCTACTTTTTCAGCAGATTTACTTGAAAAGTGCTGTGCAATGATAGCAACATTGTGACTAACCTCCTTGTCGGGCGATAGAGAATAGTACAGAGCTCTCCTTGTAAACTCCCCGTAGTAAACAGATGAAATAGCAGGCCTGGTTCCTCCCGTGGCAATCAGCGTTGACTATGCCCAAAGCATTGCACTGAGTACAATCCATGCAATTACTGTAAGTCATCCATGAAACTATTGAAAGCCATGATATAATTGAGCTATCGCTGACCCTCATGTGGTTGAAATCTTCTTTTGAAATATGAGGACTCTCTCAAACGCTTTATTGTTGAGCCTTATTGGTGGATGCACATCCCTTGTATATGGAAGCGAATGTGATAAGAAACCTTCTCATAGCGAAGTCCAGGACATGCACTGTGGAATCAGGAGAGGTAGATCGGAATAACAAGAATTTTGGAGGAGGACGGCTATACGAGTTGCCACCCGAGAACATGGCGTCCCTCTTTGTTGATGGAGGAATACACCACTAGTGTTCCCTTACATCAACGAACGAACTGCAAAAAAGGTGAACCATGTCGTCAAATCGTCTCATCTCCCAGTAAAGCTAGTTTTCCGACCACCTGCTAACTTGACGCCTGATAACATCACTCGGGATTCAAAGCACATGGTTACGCTCATACACACATTGAGGGTGTATGAGACTATCAGCCCCCCCCCCCCCAGATGTCGATGTGTCGTGGTCCCCCCGCCCAAACATGCCCAGGAATGGAGATACAGGGCCGTGAAACACGCTAATTCCTCCATGCTCCGCCCACTGCCTTTTTACGGCGCAGATTCCCGCCGTTCATAACATCCGTCGTAAGCGCGCCTGTCGCGTGCGGCTCCTTGGCACTTTGCCAAGTCCTTTAATTGCGCTCTCAAATACAAGTAAAACGCAATTTCCTGATGCGGATAACATTGGAGGTGCTACAAAATAAGAACAGAAGATGATGACGAGGGTCAGAACTTAAAAGCAACTGTGCCACTTCTGCAACCCTCGGAGGCCGCGTATTTCCACGAAACATGAAAATAAAAACGGCATACTCGTTAGTTTATACAAGCAAAACGCAATTTCCTGATGCGAATAAAATTTGAGGTGTTGCTCATGCTTCAAAATCCATGTACAAGGAGATGAAGATGACACAGGCTAGAAATGAAGCACACGATGTAAATGTAAACAAAACAAAAATGAAAAAATCAAGGAAAGGCAAATTAGATAAACTGGCCTGTAAATTTCTACGATCCGGCGCCAAAGCCATAGAAATACTTAGAACAAACGAGTGGGACGCTTGGGCTGTTTTTATTTTCATGTTTTGTGGGAATGCGCGGCCCTTGATGGATACTGCAGATGCAGCCGAGTTGCTCTTGAGTTCTGGCCCTCGTCATCATCTTCTGCTCTTATTTTGTAGCACCTCCAATGTTATCCGCATCAGGAAATTGCGTTTTCCTTGTATTGAGAGCGCAATTAAAGGACTTGGCAAAGTGCCAAGGAGCCGCACGCGACAGGCGCGCTTACGACGGATGTTATGAACGGCGGGAATCTGCGCCGTAAAAAGGCAGTGGGCGGAGCATGGAGGAATTAGCGTGTTTCACGGCCCTGTATCTCCATTCCTGGGCATGTTTGGGCGGGGGACCACGACACATCGACATCTGGGGGGCTGATAGTCTCATACACCCTCAATGTGTATGAGCGTACCATGTGTCTTTAAGAAGAAAAGCGTGTCCGAAACAACTTCACGTACTGCACCGATACTAAGATCTACTAGTTACGAGGAACAGTCTATTTGGTCAATGGGAAGGATGCGGTCAGAAAGGTCGGTGAATCAACACGGCCCCTTCATAGGCGAATGTACGAACATGTGCAAACGCTGCGGAATCCTCCTTCTTACCCCTGAAGTGCTTTTTGCCGGCATTGCACACTCTTACACCAGTAAAAGCCACCGCCCTATCTGAAAGTTATTGTCTCACACCGCACGAAGGAATCCCCATTAGAAAGGAAATTGCTTGAAGCACTGGCTATCAAGCGGCTATCTCCGGAAATTAACATCAGATGAGCTCATGGAAGCAATGAGGCTGATATCGTAGTGGTGGCGATGAAGCAGTTTTAGGGAATGACACGCACGTCGCATCTAGACTGACTTTTAGTTGCATAGGGTGGTCCACTCGGGTAAGACCTTCAGTGGCTATAATTGGGAATGACACGCCCCTCAGCCCAGCTTACCGTTGGTATTTTTCAGACGGCTAATGACAATGTAACTTGTTTTTAAGTAGTCGCAACGTTTACTCACTGATTTCACATACACACTTTTTTCACTTACTCCGCTTTTTTCCTTCTACCTGCACCCTGTAATGCCTTCAGTGCTACTTTTTCAGCAGATTTACTTGAAAAGTGCTGTGCAATGATAGCAACATTGTGACTAACCTCCTTGTCGGGCGATAGAGAATAGTACAGAGCTCTCCTTGTAAACTCCCCGTAGTAAATAGATGAAATAGCAGGCCTGGTTCCTCCCGTGGCAATCAGCGTTGACTATGCCCAAAGCATTGCACTGAGTACAATCCATGCAATTACTGTAAGTCATCCATGAAACTATTGAAAGCCATGATATAATTGAGCTATCGCTGACCCTCATGTGGCTGAAATCTTCTTTTGAAATATGAGGACTCTCTCAAACGCTTTATTGTGTTGAGCCTTATTGGTGGATGCACATCCCTTGTATATGGAAGCGAATGTGATAAGAAACCTTCTCATAGCGAAGTCCAGGACATGCACTGTGGAATCAGGAGAGGTAGATCGGAATAACAAGAATTTTGGAGGAGGGACGGGCTAATTACAAGTTTGCCACCCGAGAAACATGCGTCCCTCCTTCTTGTTAGATGAGGAGTAACCACTAATGTTCTTTAATCAACGACACGAACTGCCAAAAAAGGGTAAACCATTGTCGTCAATGTCGTCTTCATCTCTCAGCTAAAGCTAGCTTTCCGGACCACCTTGCTTAATTTGAAAGCCTGACAACATCCTGACCTGAACATCACTGGGGATTTTAAGAAAAAGCTCGCTGGCCGAAACAACTTCACGTTACTGCACCGGTATAAGGATCTACTAGCTTACGAAGAAACAGTCTATTTGGTCAATGGGAAGATTGCGACGTCAGAAGGTTCGGTGGGAAATCAACACGGCCTCCATCGGCGAATGCCTACGAAAATGTGCAACGCGCCCTGCGGAATCCTTCTTCTTACCGCCTGAAGTGCCTTTTTGGCGGAAGATGCAGCGTCTTACAGCCAGTAAAGCACCACCGCCCTATCTGAAAGTTATTTTCTTACACCGCACCAAGGATTTCCCATTAGAAAGGAAATTGCTTGATGCACTCGCTATCAAGCGGCTATCCCCGGAAATTAACAATCAGATGAGCTCATGGAAGCAATGAGGCTGATATCGTAATGGTGGCGATGAAGCAGTTTTAGGGAATGACACGCACGTCGCATCTAGACTGACTTTTAGTTGCATAGGGTAGTCCACTCGTAAAGACTTTCAGTGGCGTATAACTTGAGAATTTAACATATGATCCTTTAAACATTGTATTATAGTGACATTAATTGTGTACAATTTAATCGTCCTGGATAGTGTATTTGTATAACTTGACAACTGTTAAGTATTGCTGTGCTGTATTCTGATTTTGATTGTTTAAGGCGGTTCGGCACACGATGGTTTCCCGCTCGGGCCATAAAATGCTATAGGGCGCCCTATGCTAGTGCGGCGAAATGATGAAACGAACGGAGTGAATGCCAGCAACGGCGCAAAAAGCCTCCTCTGGACTTGAAAATCGATTTCGGACGAGTTTCCCGTACGCATCTTGCCAATCACCGCTACCGAAGATACGGCTGCATATGTGTACCCATATATGCATGCAGCATCACGGCCGCTTCATACCAATCCCTTTGCTTCATAATTTGCTCAGCAAATGAATGAATACGAGCGCTCAGGGAACGGTCGTCCGTTTGTGGGCGGGCGGGTGAGGAGGCGTTCGGGACGGAATGTTGTTGCTCGATAGGGCGTTATAGGGGTACCCTCCTTGGAAAAGGCGCCACGGAGCGCCTGTCCGAGGTCACGGAATTCTGTTAAGCCAGTCGTATAAATCCTACATCTGTATAGCGATTTATCGTGCCAACTGCCTTTAAGATCTGAGGAAGCTAGTAGCACAGTGAAAGCTCACCAATAAAGCATTTGCGCGTCCTCGTATTTCAAAAGAAGATTTCACGTATTGAAAGTGATATCAAACCGTTTCAATGTCAGGTTTGCGGCTCACGATTTGAGAGAGTCTATGTCCTCAAGCAACTTTTTGATGCGGTGCTCGATTCCTCTCGCTACATAATTTCTGAGTTTTACATACTTCCTTCAATAAAAGTTTATTCAAATGAGCAAAAGGTGAGTCACCGATAAAAACATATAGCACCCTCTGGAGACGTAGAAAAATTTTAGACAAAATGGAATAAAGGCGTATGTAAAGACAACGAATATGGTGATAAACAAAGTGCCTCAAATTTGACTGCTATTCAACGATGGGCAACGGTCCACATGAAGAAATATACCATTCTCAAATCGTGAGCCGGTGATTCACTCGCATTTTTTCGAAAACAAAAAGAATAAGGCGAATTTGCCGGCTAGGTATCATCGTGGACTGTGTCTCTGGAGCAGAGAACAGTCCACGTTGATCTCATGGGCGGGGTCAAACTCAACGTCGGGCTTTTTTTCCAAGCAGTAAAACGAAAGTTTGCACCCATAAGGGAAATATGCTGGACTCAACGACGCTCAACGACCAGTGTGGACTATACCGTCCAACTTGGATTGGTTATTGGATCTGTTGTACTGATAGTTGGGGAACAGAAAGAGCTACGCGTTTAATTCAGTTGACAACCACGCTTACAAGAAACGTTATTAATCACTCTGCTAGAACGTAGCACCATATTTATGGCCAGAAGGGTCTAAATTCAATGTGAATAATATGCTGTTCTGAGTCGCGCTGCACAAGCGATAAGTCCGACGTGGCGTAGTGACCTATCTAACCCACCGGATATCAGGCCCGTTGTCTCAGATCGATTGTCCGCGCGCGGCACGCCTGAGTGGGTGCGACGTCGCGATGTGACCTCCGAACGCCCATCTTTCCCATCTACTCGAATGTGCTTTATTTTTCGCTTCGGATACGTTAAAGTTGGTGATTCAGGCAATTAAGTAGACAGTGTAGGTTTAAAAGAACGGAGGCAAAAAACAACTACCCACCACGCAACGTTCTGCCTAGAGCGGTCACTGCTTACCGCTGCTGCAGGTCTAGTAACGCTCCCCCTTCAATGCCAAAGTATGGACTGAACATCAGCAATCTCAGAGGCTACTCTACTGAATAGCTGTCAAGCTTGAGGCATAACAAACACAAATGAGTTCTAAATAATAAACTGGAATGATTGTTATTAGGAGAAGAAAATAGTTATCAGACGAGACATGCCCTAAGTGCAAAGTCCATCGTCACCGACTGGGTTCGGACATTCAGCACCCACGCGTCCTATATTGTAGACGTTACGGCCGACATCATTGCCACTAAAAATATCGATTAGAAATTCACTGAAAAAAGCAAGAGAGCAAGAGAAAAATTGATCATTAGTTTACCCTGGACCATACATGCAAACTACAGAATAGTATTGTCCACAGTTCGCTGTGGCACATCCAAGCTGTTGGTTGCTCCACCATGCCATCTGAAAATCTCAGTTAAGGCGCAGTCCACGTTGGTCCCATAGGCGGAGTCAGGCTTGCCAAGATTTTCTCGTTACTCCCTACCCTTCACTGTATTAGAACAGGATGCGGAAATAAGATGACACTATGGCAAGCCTGACTCCGCCCACAGAACCGGTATGTCTCTTTAGCATTCCTTTCACATTGTCGGGGCCTTCTGACACAGTAGTCAGGACAGGATAGCAAATAGGACTACGCTACAATGAGATTGATACAGCAGCACGTTTGTCTCTGCCGATACTGTCAGCGTGGACTGTGGCTTCAACATGCTCCTAATGGGTAAAAACTTTGAAGCGGCCGACGGCTGCCATGCTTGGCCTTACCACTGAGCCAAGTGAGCGGTGTTGGTCCGAAATCGGGTAAGATCACGTATTAAAATCGGTGATGAGACAAAAATATTAGTAAGAAAAGTACGAGTGAGCTGATAAGGACTGCATTTTTTTGACGATTCTCGCATGAAGTCAGATGCACGGCGCACTTTATTCGAGCTAGCAAAGCTCATACCCTTTTTCCGACTTTATTAGCTTCCCATCCCTATCATGTACCACCTCACCGCGGTGATAGGGTGTACACCACTAATGGTGGCCAACGGTACAAACGGCTACGCAGTACGCACAGTAATGTGTGTATGGGCGGCTTTCTTGTATCCCTAGCAAGGAACAAGGGAGTAACCTAAGCCACTTCTTCTGCTCAAACAGCTTCAATAGCGCCCCAGTCCTGCGTACATCGGATATGCTCTTCTACGACGTCAGGAGTTGCCTCTACCGATGAGGGGCCATCTAATCTCGTCAGGGAATCAGGACGTCATCAGATTAATCGGAAACCCGGAAACTCCCCCACCCAACGACACAAGGACTGCCTCTTCGTCTGCTCGTATAATTGTCGGACTATTGCATCGGATGCTGATCTCCGAACACTTCTGCTGAGGAGTCGTCAGATCAAGTACGATGTTATCGCTATACAAGAAACGAAGGGCAGAACGGAAACCATTAGGAAAACCGATCACAACGAGCTGCTTATTGTTGGAGCCAAGGTGGATGGCAAGAATGTCGGCGGAGTTGGATTTCTCATAAACCAGGCAGTGGTCCATCTAGTAGACTCTCACAAAATCATCAGTCCACGCATCGCTGTTCTACGCTTGCTGACCAAAGATCAAGGAGCCATATCCATTATCAATGGATATGCACCCACCTCCACCGCCACTGACGAAGAACGCGAAGAATTTTACCAGCTTCTGGAAGACACGATTCAGAATGAGAGAACTTACTACAAGTATGTGGTTGGTGACTTCAATGCCCTTATAGGCACGAACCACAACGGCGATTGGCGACTCGGGCCCCATGGAACGAACAGTCGAAACGAGAACGGAGAAAGGCTGCTTGACTTGCTGTCTGCATGTCGCCTTTATCACGGAAACTCTATGTTCGAGAAGCCGACTGGACGGCGACGATGACCTGGGAAAGTCCAAATGGAGAAACGCGCAAGGAAATCGATCACATCCTAACCAATCGACGCTGGAGCCTATTCGACGTATCAGTGCTGCCGTCATTCGATACTGCTGCAGACACCGCTTGCAAGTATGTCTCAAGAAGAAATTATTCAAGCGCGACAGGCATAGGCCCTTACCTTCGAGGAATCCCTCCTACAACACTGAGCAATTGGGAGCTTGCATTGAGGCTCATAGCTGGCATTTGCTGGACGACCCATCAGAAGATTACAAACATTTGGTCGAAGGTCTGTCCAAGTGCGCAGAGCTTTCGCGACTTGCGCAATCAGATTCCAGCCCAAGGCTCAATGATGTCGCAACCACTTTGTTGGAAAAAAGGAGGGCAATGAAAATGGACCCTAATGCCACGCACTTGGAAAAAGTCACCATCAACAAGGCATGCCGGTTTGCCGTCAGAGAATCACTCCGAGCTTACAGAAGAACTAGACTGCTGAAGGCGGCAGAAACAAGATCGAGCATCAAACGCTGCAAACGAGATCTGAACGATCAAAGAAATGTCATTTCAGCTCTTATGGACAAGGATGGAAGAATACAAACATCTAGGAGATCTATCGAGGAAATCGTTAGTGGTTTCTACACGAATCTCTTCCGCTCTTCCACAAACGTCCCTAGATGCTCTGCACCGCCTGCTGAAGATCCCCCTCCTATTCTGGAAGCGGAAGTTGCAAATGCGATCAAAAAGATGAAGAAAGGAACTGCTCCTGGACCCGATGGCATATCTGCCGATCTTCTTCGTGCAGGAGGAAAGTCCCTTCACACACTCCTCGCAGAGCACTTCAGTCATTACCTGCAATTAGGAATGATTCCAGAACAGTGGAGAGAATCGAGAACAGTTCTTCTGTTCAAAAAAGGTCAGAGAGAGGAGATTGCCAACTACCGACCTATCAGTCTGCTCTCGACGATATATAAGTCGTTCACGAAAATACTGCTCAACCGTATGGAACGCATCTTAGACGACTATCAACCACCAGAGCAGGCCGGCTTCCGCAAGAATTTCTCCTGTATGGACAACATACAGGCAGTAACATTAAGGCAGTAACACAGCCACACAGCCACACAGCCTCATAGAGAGGAGCCGGCTAACCATCTTCCCACTTTTCCTCGGTCTTTGTGCCGCACTACAAAAAGGCTCGACTCAGCTTGAGATTAATGCCTGTTTCAACGGCCCTTGTGCGAGCCGGAGTACCTGCTATGCCGGAGCCGGCAGGTACAACCGTGAAATTGGCAGGAGTGCCCTTCTCGAAGAGTGGCCATTTCCTACGTGTATCTGGGAAGAGAGCTAAACATGCTGAACAACATCTCTGCTGAAATAAGCCGCAGGAGGCGTGCAGCATGGGCAGCTTTTGGAACGATTCGTGAAGTAACGGAGCAAATTAAGGACCCTAACCTAAGAGCCTCGATATTCGACGCCACGGTGCTACCAGCGATGTGTTACGCGACCGAAACCTGGCCTGAAAACAGGACAATCACCAAGGCAATGCAAACTACGCATCGTGCACTGGAGAGATGTCTTTTGAAGGTCGGCCGCCGCCAGCAATGGCAACAAGGTCTACGAAGTACAGACCTAAGGGAGCGGTCGAGATTGAAAGATCCGCTGCAGTATATGGCGCAGTGCAAACACCGCTGGGCTGGTCACTTGCTCCGCCGCAATGATGACAGCATAAGAGTCTCCGCACTCACAGAATGGCCTCCCAATGAGCGCAAAAAACGACCTCTGCGGACACACCATCGCATTGGTCCGACCTCGTTTTTGAATATATTTCAGGAGACAGCGGTCTACACACATTGCGAAAGTCGCAGAAATCGCTGCGTTTATGGGGAAGAGCTGTGTCATTGCGTCCCCACTGAGATTTCAAGCAGTTGAAGGACATCAGCAGCTATCAAAGCTAACTAAGTATTAGCTTCCCAATAAGGTGTCTTCTCGTCTTGACTCACCTTTGACCAATGTGTTACTACTCGTGTTTCACGTCTGCGTACCCCACTGGAGAACAGCATATCACTTCTCGTGCCATATCGTGCCAATTCACTCCACCAATCTGCCATTGCCTGGAAGCTTTGAGCAAATTCTGTTCAGCACCGTTTCCATTACACGCCTTTTCATAGTGTGCCCGATACAGGATAAGTTTTCTACATAATGATGGAAAAATGGAAATTAGGAAAGCACTTGTGATATTTTGGGGCAGTTTTGATGGCTCATAATGCATCACAGGGAGAATGCGATCACCTGCAGGATAGCTGGGCCCTAGACACATGACCTCCCTCCCGTCCTTCAAAGTGCTGGCTATCTCTTGAAAATTTTCTGATGGATAAAAAAGCGACTTTTCACGCCTTTTCAAAGCACTCCGCTAGATGCTGACTAATTAGGCCCATGGACACCCCTTAGGCCCATGCTGACCTTCACCGGCTGCTAGCTACTAGCTAGTAGCCACTATGTTATCTTTCTCTATAACATTTCGGACTGCTTTTTCTGCTGCTTTTCTCCGCTAATCAGATACTTAGCACTTTTTTGTGCCTATTTGAGTTCCGTTTCCCCGCAAGTGAGGTCAACTATGTGCGGCAAAGGGTGGTCTAGTGGGGGCTTCTCGCAGAAATGCAAAAAACCGCTTCACAAAAGAATCTAGAGGTGAGCTAATTCCTAGATCATAGTTGTTGGCCATTACCACTGCTTATTATCAAGTATCACTAGATATTGATTCCCGCTAGAGTGGAATATATGTACAGGGAGACCAATAAAAAGTCACTTTTCTTCATTGACTTTCGAGGCGCTATAAGTTACACTTTATTGAATTCTGATCGGACATTTCTACCACCATATTAAAGAGCATATTAAATACTATCATGACACTCCGCCACAGCCTTCTGGACGAGCGCCATCGAGAGATTCTGGCACGCGACCGCGATGTGGTGCCTGAGATCAGCGAGATAGTCGATTTCTCCGCCACCGTAGACCACCCTATTGAACTCCGCCCGAACCGGTAATGAGTTGGTGGATTCAGGTCA